CGATTACCCGAAATTTTGTCAATTATATTTTAAGTAATTACCACCGTCAGTTGGGGTGCCAGCCCGAGATTCGACCCTAAAAATATCAGCAAATATAATTGACGAAATTTTTCGCAAATCGCATTTTAATTTTTTCCCATGTTAACCCTATGGGAAAATGCACGTGCCGATTACCCCAAAACGGGCCATTATATTTCATAACGAAGCATAACATCATGTTCTATGGTCGTTTCTCAACAGGTCCTGAAAGTTTAAACAAAATCGTATCATATAATTTTGTGCAATGAACGAATGAAAATGTCTCTGCAAAAACGTCCATTGACTTAACATGGGAAGCGAAAAAAGTTCAACTTTGACCTCGTGCAAAGGCACGTTACGAAATTCTGAGGGGTATACGGCGCACACTAGCGTGTACCCAAACGTGTTTGCCATAAAATGCTGGGATGAAAACCACCCCTTTCTTGGCTCGTTTTTCCGCCATTCCCGATGGCGCAAAAAGTGTCCAAAACCCCATTGACTTAACATGGGCGAAAATTGAAACGCACGTGCCACGTGCCACGAGGTTTTAAGCGAGTAGCGACCGGTGCCATCAGGTAGATCGCCTGCGGGAGCCCATACACTGAAATTTTTACGAAGATTGAGCGATTCGTTTAGGCCCCGGTCAAGTTGCCCCAATTCGCGGCCAGACTTGCAAAACATAGCCCGGAGAAGGACCGCTCCGGTTGTTTTTCAATAGAAAAACACAATTCTAACGAATAGTGTTTGTCAATGAAGAAACAACCTGCGGTTTGTTTGAGCCCAGCATCTGCGATGCTGGGCTCCGCATCGCGGGACCGCAGGTTGTTTGAGCAAGCACCTCTGTGAACGCCGCAAAAACGCCCGCCGCCAAACGAGAGGATGAGCCTTGCACGTGCAGACCGGAGTGGGTGTGATACGAACTGACGTGCACGGCACCCTATTCGCCGGTCTCTAGCGGTGTGCCAAATTTGAGTGCAATCGACCCGGCCGTTTTCGAGATCTGAAAGCGACACCCTGCACGTGCGCACGTGCAGCCTGGGCCCCAATTGACTTGTGCACGGCGCTCTATTCGCCGGTTTCTAGCGATGTACCAAATTTAATCTGAATCGGCCCAGCCGTTTCCAAGATCGGGAAACGACCCCTACACGTGCGCCCATGCAGCTGCACCCCAACCGCGGCACATGAAAATACATACTTACTGACTTGTGCACGGCACCCTACTAACCAGTCTCTAGCGGTATGCCAAATTTGAGCACAGTCGGCCCAGCCGTTCTTGAGATCTGGAAGCGTCAGCCTGCACGTGCGCACGTGCCAAATGGATCCCATCTGAGTTGTGCACGGCACCCTACTCGCCGATCCCTAACGGTGTGCCAAGTTTGATCACAATCGGCCCAGCCGTTCTCGAGATCTGGAATCGTCACCCTGCCCGTGCGCACGTGCAGCTGCACCCCAACCGTGACACAGGGAAATGCATTGCCCGGCGGTTGCCTACATCCATGCCAAGTATCAGTGCAATCGGCAAAGTAACTAGAGAGTTATTAGACTTGTTACCGAACTGACACCTCTTCGTTTTGCACGTGGCACGTGCATTAGGGGTCACACATACGCATCGAGAGTAGCACACTACGTGTGAGAAAGGAAGAAGCTATCCCACACAAAAGACCGTGATTGAATCGGTCAAGCAGTTGTGGAGATAGAAGCTTTGCAAGGCGCCACCACAGTCGGCCTACTGCTAATATTTAGCAATAATCAGTGTCGCATCCGCACACGGGAGGTATCGCCGTCACCTGTTCGTATACTCTAATGTGGTTGGGTTCAAGTCACAGTCGAGCCCTGCTTTTTTACAGCTTTTCTTAAAAACGGCACATCGTGCAGTGACGTTCTATACATTGTTGGAAAGAGCATAGAAAGTTGTATATTTTATTAACTTTTCACTTTGATACATATGCAACGTAAAAAGTTATTAAGCAACAAAGACGCTCCCATTGACTTTCAATGTTAAAAATTTTAAATTTCAAATTAACTTTATAAGAAAAAATAAGTTATGCCAGCTTAACGAAGCATAACGGCATGTACTATCTTCTTTCCTCTACAAGATATAAGAGTTTGGGCGAAATCTATCTCTAAAATTTTGTACAAAGATCGAATGAAAATGTCTCTGCAAAGTCTCGACATCGCCGTCCATTGACTTAACATGGGACACAGCAAAATTCCAACTTTGACCTCGTGCAAAGACACGTTCCGAGATTCTGAGGGGTATACAGCGCACACTGGCGTGTACCCAAACGTGTTTGCCATAAAATGCTGGGAAGAAAACCACCTCTTCCTTGGCTCGTTTTTCCGCCATTGGCGATCGCGCAAAAAGTGTCCAAAACCCCGTTCACTTAACATGGGGAAAATGGAATCGCACGTGCCACGCGCAAAAGACTTCTTAGCGAGTAGCGGCCGGTGCCATCAGGTAGATCGCCTGCGGGAGCCCATACCCTGAACTTTTTACGGAAATTGAGCGATTCGTTTAGGCCAGACTCAAGTTGCCCCAATTCGCTGCCAGACTTGCAAAACATAGCCCGGAGAAGGACCGCTCCGGTTGTTTTTCAATAGAAAAACACAATTCTAACGAATAGTGTTTGTCTTTTCAAACAAACAACGATGCGGAGCCCGGCATCTGCGATGCCGGGCTCCGCATCGCGGGACCGCAGGTTGTTTGAGCAAGCACCTTTGTAAACGCAGCAAAAACGCCCGCCACCAAACGAGAGAATGAGCCTTGCACGTGCAGACCGCAGTCGGTGTGCTACCAGCATCTGCGATGCTGGGCTCCGCATCGCGGGACCGCAGGTTGTTTGAGCAAGCACCTTTGTAAACGCAGCAAAAACGCCCGCCGCCAAACGAGAGGATGAGCCTTGCACGTGCAGACCGGAGTCGGTGTGCTACGGATTGACGTGCACGGCACCCTATTCGCCGGCCTATAGCGGTGTGCCAAATTTGAGTGCAATCGACCCGGCCGTTTTCGAGATCTGGAAGCGTCGTCCTGCACGTGCGCACGTGCAGCCTGGGCCCCAATTGACTTGTGCACGGCACTCTATTCGCCGGTTTCTAGCGATGTACCAAATTTAATCTGAATCGGCCCAGCCGTTTCCAAGATCGGGAAACGACCCCTACACGTGCGCACGTGCAGCTGCACCCCAACCATGGCACAACACATACTTACTGACTTGTGCACGGCACCCTACTAACCAGTCTCTAGTGGTATTCCAAATTTGAGCACAGTCGGCCCGGCCGTTCTCGAGATCTGGAAGCGTCGTCCTGCACGTGCGCACGTGCAAAATGAGTCCCATCTGATTTGTGCACGGCACCCTACTCGCCGATCCCTAACGGTGTGCCAACTTTGATCACAATCGGCCCAGCCGTTCTCGAGATCTGGAAGCTCACCCTGCACGTGTGCACGTGCAGCGGCACCCCAACCGTGACACATGGAAATGCATTGCGCGTCGGGTGCCTACAACCATGCCAAGTATCAGCGCAATCGGCAAACTAACTAGAGTTATTAGACTTGTTACCGAACTGACACTTCTTCGTTTTGCACGTGGCACGTGCATTAGGGGTCACCCATACGCATCGAGAACAGCACACTACGTTTGGGAAAGGAAGAAACTATCCCACACAAAAGACCGCGAGTGAAGCGGTCCAGTGGTTGCAGAGATATAAGGTTTGTAAAGGCGCCCCCACGGCGGCCGACTGCTAATATTTAGCAATAATCAGTGTCGCATCCGCACACGGGAGGTATCGCCGTCACCTGTTCGTATACTCTAATGTGGTTGGGTTCAAGTCACAGTCGAGCCCTGATTTTTTACAGCTTTTCTTAAAAACGGCACATCGTGCAGTGACGTTCCATGCATCAGTGGAAAGAGCATCAGAAGTTGTATATTATATTAACTATTTGGACATTTGGGGTATTCGAATGGTTGTCTTGGCGTGTTGTAAGAGTTTGCGAGGTTTGTGTTTCTCTTGCTCCTAGATGTTTGGGTTCGAGATTGTTATTATGAGTCGTGACTGCTGTGTGGATGTTTTTATTTGTATTTTTAGGATGTCTTTATACTTTTCATCATGGGCGGATTTCCCAGACGCATTTACCTCACTCGGTAATCGTCCTCACCAGCTTTAGTTTCGTGCGAGTCATCAGTTCTAATAAGATAATGGCTTTCCCGGATCCCGTATTACCGTCATTCATTTAGGCGGTTATATACAATAGAGCCGGCGTTGCGGCACAGCATACATTCAGGCGTTTGACGCTTCTGCCATCTAGCGAGTTAAAAGGAATATAATGTGTTTTCGGCTGTTACGATCAGATCCGTTAAAGCATCAATGTCAAACTTGATATTCGCCACAAATCAATGACTCTGATTCGGTAAACTAGGTTCCCGGAAGGATCAGGTGTGCCCCCCCCCCCCTCCCCTCCATCCCAAACTTATAGCCACTTACGGCTCAGCCTCTGGTGGCAGTTTCGCCCGCGGCGCGGCCTACGCCATGTTATGTTCTGCGCGTTACTAATACGTATCAAATAAAGCGATAATCCAGAATTGGAGGATCGAAAGCATGCGATAGCAGTGCCCTCAGTACCGTTCCTCCAATTCTGGCCCAAGGCAACGCAAGAGCGCTGCCGGCATCTAGTAGCCGTTTTCACGACGGGCTATCCGGCGATTGCACCTGATTTGACCAAATCTGCACCTAATTTCTTTTACAGCAAATATCTTCATTTTATGAATTTATTTCAGTGTTTTAATCGATGATGCTCTCTGATAATGTGACAAAGCAGGCATATAAGCAATTAGTGCAACCCTAGCTGATAGCTGCTAAGAGACACACTGAACCTGATTTGACCAAATCTGCACCTAATCTGTACCAGATGTGCACCAGATGTGTACCAGATGGCCGTCGTTAAAACGGCTAATGTGTTGCCACGAATCGCATAACATAAAATCAAGTTCATCATTGGAACGCATGTAAAAACACGTCCTTGGTATATTCAGCCGGACATGTGAACATCTGAAGACGAATCGCATAACATAAAATCAAGTTCATCATTGGAACGCATGTAAAAACACGTCCTTGGTATATTCAGCCGGACATGTGAACATCTGAAGACGAATCGCATCACATAAAATCAAGTTCATCATTGGAACGCATGTACAAACACGTCCTTGGTATATTCAGCCGGACATGTGAACATCTGAAGCTCATATCACCACGCCTCGCCAACACATTACATCGCATTACATCGCCAACACATTACATCGCCCGTGTCACGTGTTCGTTATTTATATGAAATTTCGCCACCACGCCACGCGGAGTGCGCGGCCAGGAGTGCCCCTTAACCCAATGTGGCTGGAACAACATAAGTCAATAAATCAACAGCTTTACGTTACAATTAATATAGCCACACCACTCCCTGCTATGCCAAAAAAGAGAAAAATTTCGCCACCACGCCACACTAAATGTGCGGCCAGGAGTGCCCCTTTACCCAATGTGGCCGCAAGGCTTAAATAACAACTACAATGCAACTACAATGCAAATGTTAGGCCACACCACTCCCTGCTAAGCCGAAAAAGAGGCCCCTGGGGGAGGGGGCCCTGGAGAATCACTGTGCCTTGAACTCAGCCACAATGATTCTCCAGAGTTCACGCCTGACCGCTGCGTAGCACGCCGCGGTCAGGTGTACCCCGTCACTTTCATAGCCCTCAGGCGAAAGTGACGGGGCCGACACGGACACGGGCGGGGGACGGCCCGGGACCCAGCCCGACGCCCACGGTACGTTCACCGCAGAGGCAGCGGCGGCAGCGGTGGCGGCGGCGTCGGCGGCGGTGGCGTCGGCGGCGGCGACAGTAGCAGCAGCAGCGGTGGCGGTGGCCGCGGCAGCGGCAGCGGCAGCGGTGGCGGCGGAGACGGCGACGGCCGCGGCCTTCACCGCCTTCCCGGTGGCACGGGTAGCGTCCGCGGCGTCGGCCGCCACGCGCACGACCCGGGCTGCCGTCGCCTCTTCGGACGCACTGAGCAGTGCTTCCGCCAGCTCTTCAGCTGAAGAGGCGGCCACTCTGGCACAGCTATCAGCCGTCTCGGCGGCAGCGAGGCTGTTCCTAGCGGCCATCCTAGCGGCCCGTATGGCCGCATCTGGGCCGCCGTCGCCGCCACCGACCTCCACCTCCATCGGTGGAGCGGCTGGACCCGCGGCCGACTCCGCCGGCTGCGCCGCCACATCACCGGCAGGGCGTTCGGCCGGGCGCTGGGTGCCGCCGGCAGGCCTGGGCGATTGTGCGTCGCTACCCGCCAGGTGGCGCCGCACAATCACCTCTACATCGAGGAACAGGGCCCCATTGTCTTTCGCGACCAGTCGGAGGGACTCCGACAGCTCGCGACAGGCAATGAGGCCCGCCCTCGATGCGTCCTGCAGGGGCACCACACTCTCGATCACCGGGCGGATGCCCGGGACCTGGAGTTGCAGCGCCCGGACGAATGTCTCCGTGCTGGCGATGACTGTGGCGGCGGCGGTCGGGGCGTTCCGGTACGGAGGCACCGGAGACGGCTCCCGACCCTCCTGGAGACGCCGACGCCTGGCCTGTCCGTCTGGCCTCGGGAGCAGCGCCGGCCCGCCAACGCTGACGACGGCGTAGGAGGGCCAGACACTCTCCGTCTTCAGCCGGACGGCGGCGGCTAGCATCGCGCTCCAGTCGCCGGCGGAGTGGCCGCCCATGCCGCCGGCGGTATATCCCCGCACATACTGCGGGACGACGGTGTGCCGCCCGAGCGTAGCCCCGAGCTCCAGGTCGCGGCCCAGGGGGAACGCTCGGGCGGCAGCGTGGCTGTTTCCAAACAAGGCCACCCTTGCTTCCACGTACATACGCGGCGGCAGCGACTGGTCCCGCCGGCCGCGCGCCCGCTCCGGTGTCCGCCTGGGACTACCGTTGCGGGCGCGGCTGCGGCTGCGACTCCGTGAGCGGCTCCGTCGGCGGCTATAGTGGCGCCGCCACGGCCGTCCACGATAGTCCTATGCAAACAGACGAAAGAGACGAAGTTACCCAACTGTATGTGACAACGAACACTCTTAAAGGGACTATCCTACCTTCAAAAAAGTACCATTTAGGATTCGGAAATGTTGCTATTGGAAGTCACTGATAATGCCAGGTCAGGTCACAGGTCAGGTTACCAAGGGTCAGCACATATGAACCCGACTTCAGTAGGGCTGTGCGATGCATGTTTTATGGCCAATTTTTCATTTCCAACTCAATGGTGCTGGTTATAAGACCATCAGGTACGGTTAAGGTTACTTTCTGCTGGAGGTCATGTCAATGTCGGTCAAAAAAGGTCAAATTTCAAAGTTGATAGTTTTGCATAAAACGGGTATTGATTCGATGCAGCTCGTCACGGCGAGTCTAATGGTGGACTTTGTTTTGCGCTATGTTGTTTAGAATTGCGGTAACAATTAAGTTTGAAAATTTTAAGTCGTCAAATTTGAACAGTTTTTTTTCGCTATGATTTGGCCAAAAAAGGGAGGTATCGATATCTAAAATTTGGTATGTGAATAGAAGTCTGGAACATTTTTTATGTATCATCAAAGCTATAGGCATGACAGCTCTTCCCGCGAAACCTTTTTTGGGTCAAAAATGGTAGAAATGTCGTCACTCCGACGTCATTAGCGGCCAACCTAGCATAGCCTTTGGATTTTTTTTTGTCACAATTTGTAAAAGTTATTCCCGGAAGGGTACTAAAAGTTTGGTGACGGTCGGCGCAGCGGTTCTGGAGAGAGATATATATATATATATATATATATATATATATATATATATATATATATATATATATATATATATATATATATATATATATATATATATATATATATATATATATATACTAGATGGCATATTTTGCGCTATAACTGTGCGTTTTGATGGATGCGTTTGAGGGGGCATTAGTTTGGGTGTGGGAACTTATGATATTTATTTGTCTTATTTTGTCGGAGTTGGATATTTGTTTGAACGGCATGTTATGCTGGTGCTGGTCGCGGGTTGTTTGAGCCTTTCTCGTGGTTTGCCTTTATCGAACTCAAACCCACCCCACCCTACCTTACCCTACCCTACCTTACTCATAATCTACAAATTGTTACCCTTCTCATACTCGATCAAAGTAATGTACTAAATTTGAGCGCAATCGGCCCAGCCGTTATTGAGATATAAAAGCGGCCAACTGTGCGTGCGCACGCGCGAACTGAGACTCCAGATGACTTGTGCCAGCAACCTTTCTAAATTATCCCCAACAGTGTACAAAATTTGAGCGATATCGGCCCAGCCGTTCTTGAGATGTATAGGTGGACCCCTCACGTGCGCACGTGCAATCGATCCACCCTACCTGTCACACATGACCATGCATCGCCAGATGAGTGCCCTCTCCACCCACAGTCCAAGTTTCAGCGCAATCGGCCCAGTAGTAGCTGAGTTATTCCTAGTACAAAAATGTGCTGTTTACTGGTGAGCGCTTATTTTCAGTGTTTGGAATTCCCCTTTGCGGGCGGTGCATTGCAGCCCATGCTTTGATAGCTATTGCCAAAAGTTAAATGACCTGCCGGCCATAAGCCATCGATCGGATTTTGTCGAAAAATACCTGTAACGTTAACAAAACATGGTTGTATGTTTGAGTCATTTTAACAAAAGTTTATTGACTTTTCGATAATATTTTGGGTGGATATTGGTCAGAAAAGAATGCTCTTTCCGAATATGTAGGTTTCATGGCCATTGATCAGCGTTTTCAATACGTTTTGATGTTGTAAAGGACATCGCGCTCCGCGCGAATCAAATTTTCAACTTAATTTTTCATTATTAAAGAAATGGTACGGATCATCACTTTTGATTTGCTTTCCTATCATTACACGTACATTTGCCTGCAAAATGGCACCACACCAATTTCATTCCGTCAAGCCGTTTTCCAGCGGCATCGATTTTCCCGTCACAATGCACGAAATCGGTCATTTTTTCGCAACCGCGGGTATTGCCTTGCACGTGTCGCGTGCTATGCTATAAATCCATATCAATACGCTAGGCCCATCTCTCCTCTATCCATTGGTGGCAACGCCATCTCGCTGCAGTCACCCACCGCCGAGTAATAAGCTCGGGAACGGAGCGCTGCAGGCCCAATTTTCGTCCGATCGGCATGTCAGCCAGCCCCGTGTTATCGCTATGGGAGCGCCCTTTTGCACGTGCCGACGGCACACCCCTGGGCCAATCATTCCCAAATTTTAATACAGAGGTCACATCAACCCACCGATTTGACATGCCAAATTTCATGTCGCTACGCGGCGCCTTTCAGGCGCAATAAGACACATAAGACATGACACACGGATGCACGCACGTCGTACAGACATGTTATAAATCATAATATAGATACCATAGGTGGGCACGATCCGTTCCTCCGTTCCTCCGTTCCGGAACGCCGTTACAATTTTTAGGAACGGAGGAACGGACTCGTTACATTTTAAAAAGGGTAACGGACCAAGTAACTTCCGTTACATTGGTTTTTCGTTCCTCCGTTACAAGTTAACAGTTTAGTCCGTTCCTTCGTTCCTCCGTTACTTTTCGTTGTCCGAGCGGGTTGATCTTTCAGCTAACCCACAGACATTAATGCAGCAGCGGAATAGTGGATTATTGAGCAGCCCTGACTTGAAGACGGAAGATGGCCTCAGTGTACAGTGTACTGGCCTTCCGCAATGAGCCGGCGTTGCAGTATGTGTTCGCAAAGTTCAACACGGGCGTCCCTTCAAGCGCCTCAGTAGAGCGCATGTTCTCAATGGGAAAAGATGTGCTACGTGCAAAAAGGGCTACCCTCTCAGAAAGTGGCAGCGGAACATCTTCAATTAAGGGAGGGGGGGGGGGGCACTGCCGACTTTTTGTCCCATTCTTTCCATGCAACGCACATAGGGCTAATGTTAAAATGCCAAAATCAAAGGGGGCACGGTGCGCCGGTGCCCCCCCCCCCCGTTCCGCCGCCTATGCTCTCAGATGCCAACCTGGAACGTCTAGTGTTCGTGAAGTGCAACCGGCATCTGGCAGGGAACAAGTGATGCGCATCAGTACCACCAGACGTTTCAAGGTTTAGTGTCCAATCAGTGCCCACTGTCTTGGTAGATTTGGTGGGCATTCCGCTTTCTCGGGGTTTAGTTTGTGTCAGAATGGTCTCAAAAATGTTTGAAATACCCAACATTTTAACGTTTTTTATTTTGCTGTAACGGAGTAACGGACTAAAAGAACTTCCGTTACATTATATACAGAGGAACGGAGGAACGAGTAACGGAAGTCACGTTTTGAGGGAACGGAGGAACGAGTAACGAAGTTACAATTTTGGGGAACGGTGCCCACCTATGTATATATATGTATGTAAAACTAAAGGGGGGGGATGCTCCCCCACCGCCTGGAAGGTTAACCCTCAACCGTATAGGGGGGTCGAACGGACCCTCCCCCCCTCCGTTTTTCGCAAATAACTCTCGTAAAAAGCGGTCGATCGCGGCGAATATAAAAAACTGAAGGGGGAAATGCTCCCCCACCGCCTGGAAGGTTAACCCTCGACCGTATAGGGGGGTCGAACGGACCCTCCCCCCCTCCGTTTTTCGCAAATAACTTTCGTAAAAAGCGGTCGATCGCGGCGAAACTTTTAGTACCTACCCTCGAGTCAATCAATTTCACACCTACTCTAAAACAATTCACGACCCTGACCCTAATGACCATTGACCTGTGACCTATTTCTTGAGGCAATGTTTGGCCAGATTGCGATTCGGCGTATGTCGGCTCGCATTAGCCACGCTTTCGCAGTCTTTTCGTGGTTTCAAGCGTTCAAACATGTGATATGATGTCGATCTCGGTCACATGCATTAGGGTTGGAGTCAAGGTCACCAGAAGGTCAGGTCAGGTCATTGACCTTTGATATCCGCCCCACGAGAGGGGCTATGGTCCGTGTGAAACTTCAGAGTGGATTATTGGAGAAAGACAGTGAAAACGACAGTGAAAAGCTCGCAATAAGACGACGCTTGGAGCAATGGGAACAAAGTCAAGTCCAATGCACATTGGGGAGGGGTGGGGGGGGGGGCTATTCATAGCCCCCCCGTTTTTCTGCAATAACTTCCAAACTGCTTAACGTATCGACGCCAAATTTTCAGTACCTTCGGCTGCATCAATGTGACACCTTGTGTCAAAATATGAACTTCGTAGCTACTATAGGTCGGCCGGAAGTGACGTCAGAGTGACGTCATGTTTGGCCGATTTCGACGCAAAACATTGAACCACAGCAATCGCTCCCAAGAGCTTAGTTTTTAACCCTCGCCCTGGCAGGGCATTTTTCATAACACGGCCTGGCAGGGGGGGGGGGGTCGATGCGACCCCCCCCCCTCGCGATTGGCTCCTATGGCACCTAGAAACACCAAATTTGGTAGGTAGGTGGGCCCCCTGGAGTTCTCGCCCCTGTGCAAATTTGGTTGCTCTAGGTCAATATTTAGGGGGGTTTTGGGGGGTATAAATGTAAAAATTTCGCTAAAAACAGGTCAAAAGTTTTTCGCTGATAACTTTTGATCTAATTAAGATAGAGCAAAAAGAAAAGCACCAGTGAACTCAGCACGTCAAGGCGCGTCGAATGATATACTTTTTAGCTTGCTTAAGTGTACTTAAAGTTTTTCTTAAACTTTAAGTAAACTTAAATTAATAAATTAAGTTCAAGTTAACCAAATTGCATCATATCGCATATCATTCGATTCGGCTGATCACCAGGAACACAATGATACCATTTTTTTTAGCTCTAGCGTCATTATGTGCCAAGTTATTGGCAAAAACGTCATTTGACCTCAGTTGACCTCATTTGACCTGACCCATGGATTAGTACACCAAACAAAGAAGCACCAAGTGACCTGCTGTTAAGTACTTTGGTTTCAAAGCACAAAAGTGATAGAACGAAGCGGATATCTCCAGTATTTTCCGAATTTAGTATTTTCCCATAGGCTTAACATTACGACGTAATGACCTCTAACTGACCTCAGGTCAGTGACCTCAAAAAACCCGAACTATATGTTATACAACTCGGTGAACTTAGCACATCCTGAAAGTTTGAAGGAAATCAGTCGAAAACTGTGAGTTGGACAGGTGCAAAAAGAAAATTGAAATTTGACCATGACCTTGTACCGGTTTTTCTGACCTGGTGACCTGACCCAAGGTCACTCGGACCTGAAATTTTCAGGTCATGTGTAAAAAGGTTGCCCCATAGGCTGTGCCAAATTTGTTTTTTTGCATTGCATTTGCATTATGATTTATAAGTCGTCCGTACGTGCGTCCATCCGTCAGGACTTATGTGTCTTATTGCGCCGGAACGGCGCCGCGTAGCGACGTGAAATTTGGCGACGTGAAAAAAACGTAGCGACGTGAAACAAGTTATCGAAATCGTTTTTACGCTATCTTCGAAAAACCTTAGGGGGGGGTCGCATCGACCCCCCCCCCTGCCAGGGCGAGGGTTAAGCTAGATCCAATATCTTTGCATGAGAGAACTCAAAATAGACTGTGCTATCAAACTCCTATCTCGGATTATCAAATTTTTGAAAATTTAGAAAATTATATATAATAAAATTCTAAATACCGTAAAATGGGGTGTTAAGGGACAGTGGGGTGTTAAGGGGCAGTTGCTTGGGGAAAACTTTTAGTCATATTACGTTCCTAATTTTGGGTTTTTGTTGATGACAGAAGGGTATTTTTTGGTTCTGTTTACCTTATAATAAGCACATTTTTCAGAAGCGCTAACTGCATTACCTGTAATTGGCTAAAAAGGCTTTTACTGGTGAATGAACCTGACTTGTTTTGTGACAGAATATGCAAAACATTTCAATAAATAAATTTTGTGCCCTTTCACACCCCAATTGTGGGCTTTGATGACCATCTCTTGGAATAAAATAGGTGTCCCTTAACACCCCACATTGGGGTGCTAAGGGACAGTGATGAAAATGATAAAAAATAATATATAGGTATATATTTTTAAAACTTGAATATAGCAGGCATGTAAAGCACCAAATTCCACATAAGATGCTGACAATTTGATGCTTCTATCTCCAACCCTTCTTAAGTTATATAACAAAACACCTCAAAACTGTCCCTTAACGGTTTTACGGTATATATTTTTTATTTTTTTTTCTAAAAAACTTTTCGACTTTTCGAAAAAAACGGAGTATATGTGATAGAACACATGCTTATGACTTACTCTAGCAAATGTTAGCTAAATATCTTAAAAAATGGCCAAGTTATACGCGTTATTGCAAAAAATCACAATTATAATTTTTTTCAAATCAATTTTTCAGTACGCATTTGACATTGTACACCAATATAAATAGCACCATCGTGTTCGTGAGCTCAAACTGCATCCAATGGACACCTTTTTTGTTGAAAAATTTTAAGTTCAAAATTTGACCTTATTTGACCTGAAAGTGACCTGACCTAAGCTAAATTCAGCTCCAAATGACCTCAAATAACACAGACGACATCAAATTCGAAATCTATGGCCTAAATGGACCGTAAAACATGTGTCACGTGACCGATGCATGATATAATATTTCCGTGACCTGTGATGACCTGACCCTGACCTGAAAATCAAAGTACAAGTTTGGTACCCTCAGGGTATCAAGAACATCTGTTTACGAGTGTGTAAACCAAAATGAGCCTGATCTGACTTGTAAGACGGCGGCCAGAGCCCAAAATATGAACAAGCCAAAATGCTAATAATTTTTACTTTACGGTAAGAAAAGTAAGTTTTTAGTTATGTTTCTACTTCTAAATTCAGCTCCAAATGACCTCGAATAACACAGACGACATCAAATTCGAAATCTATGGCCTAAATGGACCATAAAACATGTGTCACGTGACCGATGCATGATATAATATTTCCGTGACCTGTGATGACCTGACCCTGACCTGAAAATCAAAGTACAAGTTTGGTACCCTCAGGGTATCTAGAACATCTGTTCACGAGTGTGTAAACCAAAATGAGCCTGATCTGACTTGTAAGAAGGCGGCCAGAGCCCAAAATATGAACAAGCCAAAATGCTAATAATTTTTACTTTACGGTAAGAAAAGTAAGTTTTTAGTTATGTTTCTACTTCTAAATTCAGCTCCAAATGACCTCGAATAACACAGACGACATCAAATTCGAAATCTATGGCCTAAATGGACCATAAAACATGTGTCACGTGACCGATGCATGATATAATATTTCCGTGACCTGTGATGACCTGACCCTGACCTGAAAATCAAAGTACAAGTTTGGTACACTCAGGGTATCTAGAACATCTGTTCACGAGTGTGTAAACCAAAATGAGCCTGATCTGACTTGTAAGACGGCGGCCAGAGCCCAAAATATGAACAAGCCAAAATGCTAATAATTTTTACTTTACGGTAAGAAAAGTAAGTTTTTAGTTATGTTTCTACTTACCATTGATTTCATTTTCGAGGATTCCTGCCTTAAGCCTTTTGTTCACTTTTGAGACCTGCAAACAAAAACGCAAGGTAAACACGACCGTGATTATTTGACCCAGGGTAAAGTAGCAGCAGCTCACCGCCGAATCATTTTCACAATCAGGGTGGATGATGTTACTTAAGACGAACAGTGCAATAGAGTATATGAAGTACCTGGTTTTGTGGTTTAACTCATAATTTACATATTTATATTCAAGTAATTCAATTAAATTAGGATAGGTAGCCAATTCGTTACATATGGACAATGTCAAAAATGAGCGCCAGGTCGAGGTCAAATCAAATCCAAGCCGACTGAGGTCAAACTTTGATGTTGACTGTTAACTCGCGCACCGAGGGGGCTCCGGACCACCTTCGAACCGACGGGGCGGAGGCGGATACCTGCCCCCGGGATATCTTGAGAACACAGTAAGCTAACAATAAGCAGGTATACAAAGAACCTCAGTCATTCGACTTTACATTTACACTAACAAAAAAAAAAAAAGATCTTACCTTGCCGATGTTTGCTTTGCGTACTACCACTTCCTGGCGGCTGTGACTTCTATTGATGTATTATACCTGCGAATGTATTAGCAAGTTACAATTGATTTACACATTAATATGCTTCAAATCGTTATATCTGAAGTGGAATGTATAAAGACACATCTATTGATTTACACATCAATATGCTTCAAATGGTTATATCTGAAGTGGAATGTATAAAGACACATCTATAGTTAACGCTTGAATTGTGAAACAGTTCATTATTTACTGGCATTATTAAATTGTTTACCATATGTGATGTTTAACTAATTAGATCCGTTCACCGAAAACACGAAAAGTTTCGTGAAGGTTTTTAGGTTGTAAATAAAATTTCTTCAAAATATTAGAGCACGTGATTCCTGGCATCAAGCTCTAAATATTTGGCATTTTTCATATAGAAGAACAATTTATTTTAGTCAAGGGCGCCCGCGTAAAAGAAGATTGTATCATTGAAATAAATATCTGAAACTCATACCCATCTCACGGGAGCTAAGTGGGGATGATAAATTAACTTATATTTTTGTAACATTACAAGTTGGGTCAAAGTCGGTTCACGGTTGGGGAACAGTTGATCATTATGTATTAGAATAGCGAATAGTGTGGTTAATAAGCGAATAGTTGGAAACAGCAAATATCTGTCGATACTTACATTGTTGCTGAAGGGTAAGCACAACACTTTGACCACTGTCATAAACAACAACAAACGCGGTTTATCCATGGTTTCATCTACTAACCAAATTGGTTTACAAACCGACCGTAATAAAGCTCAGATTCGGATTTCATAAAAATATAATAAAAATCATAAATTCTAAATAGAAGTAATTTATTGAAAAGTCCAAACCTGCAGATACGAAAACATGCCAGGCAATTTGAATTGTTACGAGCGAGCGAGCGCAGCGAGCGAAGCGAGTCTTTTCAATATAACGGAAAAATCTCAGTATGAGCGGCCCGGCCCTACGGCCCGGCCCGGCCTGTAACGCTTTTGAGAGGCTTATATCTCAGCAGCCGCTGGACCGATTGGCCTGCGGTCTATTTCTATTCTAGTCTATTTGGCCTGCGGCGCTGAAAGCTATTTTGCCATATTTCAAAACTGGTTTCAGAAGCAAATTGCTTGGATTGAAGACACTTGAAGTAAAACTGACGTGTTGGATGTTTTTATTTGCGAAATTGATTTTTACATTGTGTGTCAACATCTTCATTTCCATTTTCCTGAAACTTTGACCGTCGCCGGCACTCAGCGCAATCGGCCCGGTAATTACCGAGTTATTGTAGTGTGGCGTCCGAAAAATGAGGGACCACCCTGGTAAGTACCAGCCGACCACTGCCCAAACTGGATTATGACCGTTTGTGTCAATATCAACCACCTTCTCGATATCAATTGCCGAACCACTTAAGCTTGTCATGCCGGTTACCGAGTGCGGTTGATGCGGCTGGCATCTCAGCTAAACATTCCTTTTTCCTCCCTAGATGGCAGAAGTGTCAGACGCCTGAATGCATGCTGTGCCGCATTGCCGCCTCTGACGTAAGTAGCCGCTTGAATGCATACTGTTCCGCAATACCACACACACCCAACGAAATTGCTCAGATGAAGATTGGCGTTCTTGTTTGAAAGTATTTTTGGCTAACGGTGGATGTGTCGAAAAACACACAAAGTAGAATCATGTCATGCTACCTTTCTATTCTATGATGGTACTGGGCTACTGTTGAGCGCTATCGGCCCAGCTTGTGTCGCTGATTGTCCCAACGTTTGAGCTCAATCGGCCCAGCCAACTTCAAGATCTGGAAGCGAACCCTACACGTGCTCACGTGCAGCTGCACCCCAACCTTGGCAAATGGAAATACACACTAACTGACTTGTGCACGGCACCCTACTAACCAGTCTCTAGTGGCATGCCAAATTTGAGCACAGTCGGCCAGGCCGTTCTCGAGATCTGGAAGCGTCGTCCTGCACGTGCGCACGTGCAAAATGAGTTCCATCTGATTTGTGCACGGCACCCTACTCGCCGATCCCTAACGGTGTGCCAACTTTGATCACAATCGGCCCAGCCGTTCTCGAGATCTGGAAGCGTCACCCTGCCCGTGTGCACGTGCAGCGGCACCCCAACCGTGACACATGGAAATGCATTGCGCGGCAGGTGCCTACAACCATGCCAAGTATCAGCGCAATCGGCAAACTAACTACAGAGTTATTAGACTTGTTACCGAACTGACACCTCTTCGTTTTGCACGTGGCACGTGCATTAGGGGTCACCCATACGCATCGAGAACAGCACACTACGTGTAAGAAAGGAAGAAGCTATCTCACTCAAAAGACCGCGAGTGAATCGGTCCAGTGGTTGCAGAGATATAAGGTTTGTAAAGGCACCCCACAGGCGGCCTACTGCTAATATCTAGCAATAATCAGTGTCGCATCCGCACACGGGAGGTATCGCCGTCACCTGTTCGTATACTCTAATGTGGTTGGGTTCAAGTCACAGTCGAGCCCTGCTTTTTTACAGCTTTTCTTAAAAACGGCACATCTTGACATTTTGACATTTTGAGTTCGTGTCTGATTTCAACACGTGGCACAACCCCTTAGCGTTCACATGCAGTTGTAAGTAGCTACATACATCATTTGGAGGTATACAATCTAAGAATAATTATGTTGGGGTATTCATCACTACAAGTCCAGTAGCAGCCATGAAGCATTAAAAAGCCTCCCCGCAGGCATGCAAGGTGACCACAAATGTCTCCATGTGCATACGCATTACACACCTGGAAAGTCTGTAATGTAAGTAATGTTTCTCGTGTGTTTATCTATGATTTCCGATTTATGTACTCCACCAGCCTGAAAATGGCGTCACAGAGCACAACAGTCGAAAATGGATTATTATTTTGTATTTAATCATCTTTGGCTGACGTCACAGTTATCGGTGACGTCATTACTCGCGTCTCCCGGCGCTTTGACACTAGTAATAAGCCACTGTTCATAATGTTCTCGATAAATACGTGTACTGTGCATCACGGTAAATAGATTTCTGCGACGCTGGACGTGGCCGAAAAAAAATGAAGCGGAAAGTGAGTAAGACCTACCTGACACACGGGACAGTTGTTTTGAACATCACCAGTGGAACCACGAGGCATCCATACCAACGAAGAGTTTTCCATCTCTTGGTATATTAGGCATAGCCTAATATTCCAGGCAGCGGCACGAGGAGCCGGATGGAGGAAACATGGATGCACGCTTGGTAAGGACAGGATTGTATATCAGGACGTGAGCTTTACCAAAAGGCATCCACGCACCGCGCTGCCCGCCCTTGACGCAATTAGCAAATAAGTTGGCTCCAAATGTGATAGCCAAATTTTAACCAAATCAGTTCAAGTACCAAATTTGAATGTTTTTACTGAGAATACTACGTCAAGAGCCCGTTACGATGTAACGGAGTACAAACCAGCCACTCCACACTTAGGCAGTCCCTTTCACACGTAGGGGAGACCCGGGAGGTATGGGCCGGTTTTGTGAAAAGGCAATTTTCTTCCAGTGGGCAGTGGCTAAACATGGGTTTTAACTCTGTGTACGTGAAATTGCCTTTCGCCTGCAAAGTGTGCCTGATATTAGGCAGCTGGGATCAACCAATTTTGTCTCGAGATAACTTTCAATAAATCATGCGCTTTTTCGACCCGTCAAAATACACCGGGAGGTATGGGCCATGGCCCGGGAGGTATGGGCCGGTGCCATGTTTCATATTCTTTTCTCGACAATGAAAACAATGCTCGCAGCTGGTAGTGGTATCTACCTTGATCTCTCTTAGAGACCAGGAACCGCATAAGCGGCCAACAGCTTATTTCATAGAGGTCACTTGGGCACATATGTATTTTGGTAAGCTCAACCATGTTCCAGTCTTGATTTGCATGCTTTAAACTTTATGTTAGCGATGGTCTGACATCATAGAAGGAGCCGGTTTCAAATTTATCACGAATTTTCGGTATGTACCATAGTTTACTCGAAGAGGGCAAAAACGCTTCATCACCGCTCATTGCCAAAGAAGACTGAGGAAGATTTCGGAAATCACATGGGTTGTATAACGGAATGGCTGCTACCAGCTTACGCGGTCAAATGTGTAAAAATGGGCAACACGTCTTCAAAACTGCGATGGCCCATACCTCCAGGGGGCCCATACCTCCCAGGTCTCCCCTATTACTGCATTCACACCTGTCACCTCGTACACCGGCCTGCCCGCAGCACAACGTAATGTCTAAGGCCACTAGTGCATGATCATTGTTACGAATGCATTTGCACCTTTACAAACTAGGCTGTGCTTCACATACAAATATGCATAAGAAAGTGGATCGTAGCCGTTCGCCTCAAATATGTCAAATGTTTAAAGCATGTGGGTATGTGGATAAGAACCGAATAAGAAGTAAAGTGTCGCTACATACTGAGCTCAAATCGGTCCATGCATACTAAGAAGTGAAGTGTCGCGATCGGACCGCTATCGTCCGATCGCGCGATTCCGGGTAACGGAAGGATTTAGATGCCAAAGTGTAACGTGCCCTTTAACCTTCCAGACGGTGGGGGGATTTTTTGCCCCCATATTGCAGAGTGTTCCGGCCTTGGTGCGAGTCGTGTGACGAGCCACCTACTTGCATTAGGCTCACAGAGTAGATTTAACCAAAATTCCCTTACTACTCAGGCTGGTTCACTAGGGAAATAAAGGCGCCGTGGTAACGTGGTCAGGCTCACAGAGTAGATTTAACTGTAGTTCGTTTTTTTTTTTTTGCAAAAGGACGCTGGCTCCAACTTCATTAGCGAAGCACTCACGTGAGTTTTGGCAGCTTTAGTGTCTGACCAAGAATTTCTTACCGAAAGAATATTCGATTTCAAATTGTACACGGTAAGTACCCGGAAATTGTCTTAAAAAAATTAGCATATTATGATGACGTCACTGATGGCAGCAGGCGCCCAATGTCCGTACGTTGGGACAAGGTCGACGAATTTGGGGGAAAACTTTTTTTCACTGTTGCCGAGGTTATAATCGAGTAAGCAGTTCCGTCCATGGTATTGATACGTTACATTGCAATACAAGTTCGACAGCATGACGTCACCACTGTTCTAATGTCTATACTCTGTTCCGTTTCAAGTTTGCAGCCGAAGTACCCTGCTGAAAGCAGTGCGTGGTTTCTGTATATACAGTTCTTACATTTTAAGACGCTACTTCTTGAGCGGAGGAGCGATCTGCCGAAGAAA